ACCATGGAAAAGTGGGGTGCACAGGAGATGCCAGGGCCTTGGCAGAGGCAGAGTGCCCAGAAGGAGGTGGAGATAAAGGCCAGGCTGCAGATTAGCTCTGGGATTAGTGCAGCCTGGCCTCGGGCTGCTTCTGGCTGCTTCTTATCTCTTGGCGGCCCAGGGCGCTCCAGCTCACGGGTGCTGAGCTCTGGCCTTGCTAATTGCCTGTTAACCCTGTGGGCTGGGGTAAGAAGGGGGTGGCGGAGGCAGGGGACCGGGCGGGCCAGGAAGAGGGCCAGCCTGCTGGGGGAGTACTGTCTGGAGAAGGGGGAGCTATGAGTAGGTGGAGCTCGCCAGGCTGAGGGACGGGGAACAGACTCTACTGTTCTGTGCTGAGCTCTGATCTGAGGCAGACCCCAGGTCGAGAGGAGGGCAGACTGGATGGGGAGGGATTATTGGAGAACCTCAATCCCAGGGGTCAAGTCTTGGAGGAAACCCAGAGACACAGACTGAGGATGGATGAAGCACAAGGAAGGCCAACATGAGAGCGTCACAGAGGGCCGGGGCAGAGAGCACCCAGATGGACAGGGCACCAGGTGCTGGGGCACATGGGCCAAGGAGATAAAAGAAGCTCTTCAGAAACAGACTGAGACCCGTAAACAGAAGCTAGGGAAGACAGCTCCAGCTGAGGTCCAGGCCAGCCCTGGCGGTGGGGTGGTCAGAGTGGGCTAGAAGAGGATGGGGATGTAGGGTACCTGTATCCTGTGCCACACGATCCTGTCTCCAGCCTGCTCTGGGGAGCCATGTGCCCTGGCTGGGGCTGGGCAGGAGGGCCCGGGAGTAAAGGCAACAAGCAAGGACGCAGGAGGTGAGGGGACAGAGCCCCTGGGTACTGAGAGCCCCGAGGTGGTGGTCTGCACCTGGGTGTACCTTGCCCTTTCTGGGCCCGAGCCCCAGGCTCTCCATTCTCTCATACACCCAGGGTCACGCGGGCCAGCGCAGGCAGGCGGCCGCGGCCAGCCACTGGGACCTTGTGGCCGAGCGGCCGTGCCGTCTCCATGGCAGAAGCTGGGGGCTGTGCTGCCACCAGAGTTCTGCCACTTAGGAGCTGGCGGCTCCAACGCCACTGCTGCTGCCAGCGCCTGGCCCGGGGACTGTCTCCGCGGCAACGCAGTGCTTTGCCCAGCAGTGAGCTCGACCTGGACCGTGCAGGGGGTCTCCATCCTGTCTGTCAGACCGGGCCATTCCCTCCAGGGGAGCCCCTGCAGGTCTGGGTTGCTCCCCCTACCTCCTAACCTCATGTGCCAGGAACCCAGCTTGTGCAGCCCCAAACAGGGCTCAGCATCTTGTGGGCACAGCAGGTGTAAGGGCTAGGGAGGCTGCCTCAGGACCCAGCCAAGGTCACCGCGGTCCTCCAGGAAGCCCTTCCCTGCACACTGCACTTTGCCACACTCAGGTCAGCTTGTGACTGAGCCGTTCACCCCATGCCGTGTATGCCCTCCTCTCCCTAACCCCCCTGCCATGCCTGATAGAGCCACTTTTCTTGTCCTAGCCGGGGAGGAACTTACTCCATGTAGCTTCCTTAGCGGCTCAAAGGAGAAAGCGCATCAAAGGAGCCTTTCCCTGGGCCTGGACCACCGTGGGGCTGCTGGGGGGAGGAGGCCTCATCCCCAACACTTCTGATGGCATCCCTGGGCTCTCAAGCGGGAGGCCAAGCCGCAGCAGAACCGTGACATTGCATGGCATTAGGGCTCTGTCGAGGTGGTGCCAGCTGCTGGGGGACACCAGCAAGCAGCTTCTCCTTAGGGTCCCCCATGCGACCCATGCTTTGGCCTTTACCCTGCCAAATGCATGCAAAGCTGGCATTTTAGCACCAGCCGAACCCAGCATTTGCTTTGGCCCAAATATGAAGAAGTGGGATTCTTTGAGATTTGAGTCAGTTCTTTGTTTTCCCCCTTGTGTTATATTTTTTTAAAGATGTATTTGTTTTTATTTGAAAGGTAGAATCAGAGAGTAGAGAGACAAAGAGAGAGGTATCCCATCTGGTTCATTCCCCAAATGATCACAGTGGCCAGAGCTGAGCTGATCCGAAGTCAGCAGCCTCTTCCAGGCCTTCCATGCAGGTACCATCCCAAAGAGGATCTACTGGAGCCTCTACTGCCTTCCCAGGTGCTAAGCAGGGAGCTGGATGGGAAGTAGAACAGAACTCAAATCAGTGTCTATATTGGATTCCAGTACTGTAGGTGGAGGCTTAATCTGCTCATTAAGCCAATTCTTTAAAAAAAAAAAAAAAAGATTTGTTTTGTTTATTTTTTATTGGAAAGGCATATCTACAGAGAGAACAAAAGATAGAAAGATCTTTCCTGTGGTTCACTCCCCAAGTGGCTGCAACAGCTGCTTTGCCATTCCAAAGTCAGGAGTGAGGAGTTTGTTCCAGGTCTCCCATGTGGGTGCTGGGTCCCAAGGTTTTGGGCCATTCTCTACTGCTTTCCCAGTCCACAAGCAGGGAGCTGGAAGGGAAATGGAGCAGCTGGGATATGAACTGATGCCCATATGAGATCCAGGCCCACGCAAGGCAAGGACTTTAGCGCTAAGGCTATCGTGATGAGTCTCCATTAAGCCAATTTCTAACATAGTCACTACATCTTCCCTTGACATGCTGGCAGAGTCCAGGGGACCTGGCACCCAGCCCCATGTCTAGGAGCAGGCTGTCCTGCTGGACCCTTGCCCCATTAAGATAGCACCTTTCTGTTTAGGGCTGTGGGCCAGCAGGTTGTGACAACACAGAATCAAGGCAGAATCTCAGCTCTGTCCCATCTGCCTGCTCCTAGTCCATGACATCAGAATCTGTACTTTAAAGATGTCCTAGTCCTGGGAAACTGGCAGATCAGCCTAATTCTCCAAGTCTCAGTTTCCTCATTCGTAGAATGGGGAGATGATAACATCAAAGTCAGAGGGCAGTTGAGAGGATTCGATCAGAGGATTGAGAGCAGGGCCTGGAGCATTTGGGAATGGCCCCTGCCATTCCCCAGCCCCACCCTCCCTGGACATGATGGAGCAGGAGCAGTGTGGAGGCAGCTGGAAATTGAGAGACAGCAGATGTGGAGGCAGCAGATATGAAGAGGGAATGAGCAAGTAGGTGCACTGAGGAGGTGCAGAAGGAAGGAATAGGAGAGAGGATGAAAAAGCAGGTGTCAGGTGGTGCCATCCTTCCCCATCTCACCTGGATGGGCTGGGATGGATACCAGCCCTATGGTGTGAGAGGAAGCCTTCAGGCAGGCCAAGTTCCTGGTCTCTGTTCCCTAGCTGGTGCTCTTGGACCGCGGTTTGCACCCCGGAAATGATCAGACCCACCCATAGCTGTGTGCAGAGTGGAGGAAGCAGGCAGGGTTGACTGCACCCAGTCTTTTATCCAAGCTGGGGTAGCAGAGGGACAGAAGGCCTGCAGGGGGTGGGGATCTCGGGTGCTTTAGTAGGACCGGGGACGGGCAGGGCGGGATCCTAATGCTGCCCTGCAATGGCCTAGACCACCCCAACATGTTTCCCTGCCCCCTTGGAAGCGCCCCTTCCTCTCCTACGCAGCTGGTGCCACTGCTCCAACTTCTTGGAGTGTGTGAAGCCGTTCCCAAGGAGAGGGGAGGGGGAGCGCGCGAGTGATTGAGGGCGCCGACCCCTTGCCCCAGGGAAGGTGCTGCCTGTGATGGGTTTGACCCAGGGGCTCGTCTCTGTGGGGTGAACCTGGCAGGCGGAAACTACAATCGGCTTTTCTCCCGCAACGTCTTTCCCATCCCTGCGGCTCCAGCCTCGTCATCCATCTCCTGGGTGCTGGCGCCACCTGGCGTCCACACAGGAGAACAACCGGCGGACATGGGAGCTGAGTCCTCGTGCCCCGTGAATGCTCATACAATCGTCCTGTGGGTCCCGCCCTGGAGGGGGGCAATGCCGGGCAGAATCAGGGTTGCGGTGCAGCATGATTCTGATGGGGAGAGAGGCATCCACCGTGCGCAAGGGGACAAGTAGATGAGCCAGCCCATCTCAGGTCAGGCAGTGAACAATGAGCCACAAACTTGGGTGTGTGGCAGGTGCTGCTACATATAATTGTGGGTGGATATGAGTGTGACATCAAGCTTGGCTAGGGAACAACATGGGGAGCAAAGGAGGCAAGGGCACCATGTGTAGACTTTTGTCTCAGGGGTGGAGTGACAGGGGAGACAGGAAATTTGATTTCATTCTCCAGGAAGAGAGAAGCCATTCTGGTTGGTTTCTTCCTTCCTTTTTAAAGATTTATTTGTTTTGTATTTGAAAGGCAGAGTTACAAAGAGAGAGGAGAGACAAAGACATCTTCCATCCACTGGTTCACTCGCCCAATGACTGCAATGGCTAGAGCCGGACCATTCTGAAGTTAGGAGCCAGGAGCTTCTTCCAGGGCTCCCAAGACCCAAGCACTTGAACCATTCTCTGCTGCTTTCCCAGGCCATTAACAGGGAGCTAGATTGGAAGTGGAGTAGCCAGAACTCAAACCAGCACCTATATGGAATGCCAGCAGAGGCTGGTATTGGCTGTCTTTATATAAGTTGTGTTGTGTTATTTCAGCAGCTTGCAAGCGCCGACGGGTGATGTGATTGGCTATGAGAACTTTGGAAAGAGCATTCCAAAGTGGAGGAGGGGGAGGGGCGGGTGTGGAAAAATGGAGGCTGTTAGGGGAAGATTTGATTGTGAAAATGGGTGGGCTTCAGATTAGAATTTTCTAGGACCCGCTGCAGGACTGAATTGAGGCGAGGGAGGTGGTTTGGAGGATTCTGACTTGGGAATTGGAGTAAAGGTGGTGGCTGGTGGGAGTTGGGGAGCCAGTGACGGTTCTTACTGCCTTCTCATCTTGCATGGAAAAGGTGGAGCTCAGGGGAGAGGCTGGGCTGTAATGCCAAGCTGGGAGACAGTCATTTCTTGTGGTCCACAGCAGAGGCTAGCGACCTCGGCGTGTGGTGTCAGCCCTATCTCCACTCTCCTTCCCCGACCCCCAGGTCTATACCCGCTATGGAAAATGTTATACCTTCAACGCAGATCCGCAGAGCTCGCTGCCCAGCCGGGCAGGAGGCATGGGCAGTGGCCTGGAGATCATGCTGGACATCCAGCAGGAGGAGTACCTGCCCATCTGGCGGGAGACAAGTACGCAGGGCAGGGGCAGAGGGTGCAGGCCTGGGCATGCGAGCTGGGTACCGGGTGGGGCCCTCCCCATGGCGCTGAAATGCAGAAGTGTCCATCTCTGCCGGCAGACGAGACATCGTTTGAGGCCGGCATCCGGGTGCAGATCCATAGCCAGGAGGAGCCACCCTACATCCATGAGCTGGGCTTCGGCGTGTCTCCGGGCTTCCAGACTTTCGTGTCCTGCCAGGAACAGCGGGTGAGTGCTGCCAGCTGGGCCAGGGGTGGGACATGAGACCTATATGCCTTTGAGCCTGGATCTGCCCTCCAGAAGTTCCCTGTTTACCTGCTGGCACGCCCCCAACTCCAGGGCACCTCATTGTCCTCCACCTCTTGCAGCTGACCTACCTGCCACAGCCCTGGGGCAACTGCCGGGCTGAGAGTGACCTCAGGTACCCGGAGCTTCAGGGCTACTCTGCCTACAGCGTGTCTGCCTGCCGCCTGCGCTGTGAGAAGGAAGCTGTGCTCCAGCGCTGCCACTGCCGGATGGTGCACATGCCAGGTGTGTGCCACCCTGCAGGGCTCCGGAGCCTCAGGGCAGAACACCCTCATGTGCACACCCACACCTGTGGGAGGGAGCGTGGGCTTTTCCTAGTGTTGACATGTCTCCATGCATGCTTGTGAGCATGAACATGTGTGTACATGTGTGGACTTGTGTGTCCATGGGAGTTGCATGCGCAGATCCATGTACGTAAATGTTAGTATGTGTGTGTGTGCAGGTGTGCACCTGCTTGCGTTTACACATGCATTCATGCTTACAACTTGAGCAGGTGTTCTGTGTGCTTCTCTGGGTGTGCTTGCATCCATGAACATCTGTGTACACACACGTGTGTGTGTGTGCTCCCATCTAGATGTGTGCTTGGTGTGGAGAAGGGACCACAGGCTCCAGCACTGATTGTCTTTCTTCTTTTAGGCAACGAGACCATCTGTCCACCAAATATCTACATTGAGTGTGCCGACCACACCCTGGGTCCGTGCTGCCTGCCCCTGCCCTGCCCTCCCCCTGTGTCTATTTTCCTCCTGATGTCTTGCCTTCTCTCCTCCTGATCCCTTCCTGGGGGGAGGGTTCTTTCTGGAGGGTTGGACCTTATCCCAGACTTCAGACACTTGGGTAAGTGGAGGCAGAAGAGTAGGGGATGGCAGAATCCAGGACTGCATCCAAAAACCTAGGCTTCTTGCCCCAGTTCAACCAAGTGAAATGCCCAACTCCTTGGTCTCAGGGAGAACGCCCGGGTGGCTGGCAGTGTGGGTGAGGCAGCCCCTCTGTCCACAGGTCCTCCTCATCTACAGCTCATCCACCCTCCATCTATCCACCCACCCATCCCTTCATTTATAGATGCATTCATTCTCCAAACCGCTACAGCCTGCTGGAGGTGAGAGTGGGGTGAGAGCCCTGCCTTGTGGAGCTTACTGCATGGCCAGGTTGCAGACAGGGCTTGTCACGCCATATGGCCATAAGAGGGCGACCTCAGGGGTGCACCAAGGCGCATTCCAAGGAGGGATGCGCAGGGGAGACAGGGAGAACTTCTGGAGGAAGTTATCTAGGACTAAGGCTCCTGGGGCAACTTGGAGCCAGCCAGGTGCAGTGGAGGACGCGTTCTAGGTGGTGCAGACAGCATGTGTTGCAGACTTTATTGCCAGAGCTTGTGCTTGTGTCTGTGGGGCTGGACAGTGTAGCTGAGCATCAAGGCAGAGAACAGGGAGGGGTGAGAGCCATGGAGCAGGCTGAGTCACCCACAAGGGCGTCAGGCAGTGCGAGAAGGCCAAGGGATATTCCGGTGAGCCATAGGGGACTAGGACTTGAAGTGGGGTGCATGCCAGGTCTCAGGGTAGTTCTCCAGCTGTGACGGGAACTTAGGGACGATCTGTGATTCTGGAGCAGCAGGATGGCATCTTGGAGAAGCCATACCCCCAGGCCACCTACCAAAGGGCAGGGGAAGAGTGTTGGGTGAAAGAACAACTGGATGAAGAGGGGTGGGGACAGCCCAAGGCGACAGCCACACAGGGAGCTTTCCTGCTCCAGGCCTGAGGTGCTGGGCAGGCAGGGAACACTGGGGCGCCCACCCAGAGTCCTGTGGCGTGCCCTGAGGTGCTGGGCAGGCAGGGAACACTGGGGCGCCCACCCAGAGTCCTGTGGCATGCCCTGAGGGCTGGCAGGGAGGGTGCTGGGGAAAGAAGTATGTTGACACTTGCTAGGCATTCCTGCCCTCTGATGCTGCTGAGGCTTCCCATCGACCAAATCTAGCCCAAGGCCAGAGGTCAGCCCTGGGACACACAGGAGGATGAGGAGTGAGCAGAGGCAATGCAGTGTATCAGGCATGCGCGTCCTATCTGCCCTTCTGTCTGTCAGCATATCCATCTGTCCACCCATCCTAGTGTCTTCACGTGTCTGAGGCTCTGTGGGGTTGACGTGCTTTAGCAACTCCCTCTGAGCTGCAAGACCCTCCCTTTCTTCTGGAGGGGGCAAAGAGTTACTCCTGTGGAAGAGGGCCTGCTGACCCCTACATTTTTGGGGAGTCTGATGTGGGGGAGTGGTTCTCCACCTGCTGTCCTCCAGGAATGTCGGGTTGGGGGAGAGCTGGTTTGGACCTGCCTTGTGGATCTGCCTGCCTCGGAGCAGGCTCCTCCCCCACTGCAGTGGGTGCGTCTGTGTTGCAGACTCGCTGGGTGGGGGCTCCGGGGGCCCGTGTTTCTGCCCCACTCCCTGCAACCTGACCCGCTACGGGAAGGAGATCTCCATGGTGAGGATCCCTAACAGGGGCTCAGCCCGCTACCTGGCAAGGAAATACAACCGCAATGTGACCTACATACGGTAGGTGCCTGTGCCTATGTGTGCATGCATGTAGCTGCATGGGAGCATGTGTGTGTGTGTGTGTGTGTGTGTGTGTGTGTGTGTGTGTAACTGGGCTGCATGCTTGTGCATGGTGAGTCGCCTGCCAGGAGTACACTCCCAATCCTTTTATTTTCTTTATTAGTTTTATTTGAGAGCAGAAACAGAGAGGGAGTTCTTCCATTTGCTGGTTCACTCCCTAAATGCTCCTAACAGCCAGGGTTGGGCCAGGCTGAAGTCAAGAGCCAGGAACTCCATCTGGGTTTCCCACATGGGTGGCACTTGGGCCACCTACTGCTACCTTCTCAAGGTTGCATTAGCAGGAAGCTGACAGAAACAGAAGGAAGACTCGAACCCACACCCTCTGATAACAGAGGCAGGCTTACCAAGCAGCATCTTCACTGTAGGGCCAAATGCCCACCCCACAGCTGCCAACCAGCTGCCCATTCTTCAGGTGCTGTGTATGTCCCCGCCTCCAGGATGGGCCTCTGATACCTCATGTCTGATTTCCACGGCCCTGTCATCATGGGCACCCTTGGTTTCAGTTTCTCATCTCTCAGCAACGTGCAGACTATGAAATGCATGTCACATGAACACGGTGCTGAGGGAACGAGGCCAGGCAGGAAGGGACAGGGACAAAATGGCCTGCAGCAGGGCTACCTGAACTTGGGGCCAGGCAACAGCAGCTGAGCAAGTACAGGGCCTGATCCGGGTACCAGGCACAGGGTTGGGTCCCACAAGAACAGATGATGATGACACAAACCCCTGGGGCAGTTTGTGAGTGGGCCTGGGTCTGCTGGCATAGTGCTGAGTTCCAGGCCCTGGGACGGACAACAGCCAGGCCTCTTAGGACCCGGCTTGGGGCTGGAGGAGAAGCAGGGGTGTGAGAAGCAGCTGGGTAGAGAGCTGTGAGATGTTATGTCGAGGTGAGCCTGCATGGAGAAGAGCAGAGCAAATGGTAGTTTGGATTGGAAGGCACGGCGGTGGAAACATGGACACGTCTCTAACACTGAGGGAGTATGGACGGATGTGTAGCAGGGAGCCACCGAAGGTTCTAGAGTGGCCCAAGTATGATGCAGAGTGAACACTACAGGAGGCAGGAGGGCTGCCTTCAAGCCCAGAGGCTACTCACCAGCTCCCCAATTCAGGGGGTCTGCATCAGGATCTGCTGGGCTGTTAAGTACCTAGTGAGGAGGGGGTCCCCAAGGGTGCCCTGCTTCCTCTCCCCACAGGGAGAACTTCCTGGTGCTGGATGTCTTTTTTGAGGCTCTCACCTCTGAAGCTGTGGAGCAGCGAGCAGCCTATGGGCTGTCAGCCCTGCTGGGTGAGGCCGGCCTCTGCCCCTGCCCCAGGACTGGTGGGGGAGGCTGGGTCCAGCCCGGCTCCTTCTGATCCTGCCACTCTGATCCCCAGGAGATCTTGGGGGCCAGATGAGCCTGTTCATCGGTGCCAGCATCCTCACCCTGTTGGAGATTCTCGACTACATCTATGAAGTAAGGGGCCCTGGGAGGCGGGGTGGGGTCGGGAGAGGCCCGGGTGGAGCTGGACTTTGGCTGGAGCCCTCCCTGGCCAGGCCACCTGAGGGCGCTGAAGAGTCAGGAGATCGGGCCAGCAGGCCTAGGGGCTTAGAGCCCACTGCTGTGTCCTGTCTCAAGGTGTCCTGGGACCGACTGAAGCGGGCATGGCGGCAGCCCAAGACCCCACTGCGAACCTCTGCTGGGGGCATCTCCACCTTGGGGCTGCAGGAGCTGAAGGAGCAGGTGAGACTGCAGAGCATTGTCTCTGGGGGAGAGGGTCCCAGGGCTGGCCGTGCAAGGCCACATGGACATACACACACACTTACTTTCCTTTTGCAGAGCCCCTGCCAGAGCCGAGGCTGTACTGAGGGCGGGGGTGCCAGCAGCCTGCTTCCCAACCACCACCACCCCCACAGCACTCCGGGCAGCCTCTTTGAAGACTTTGCCTGCTAGGCTGGTGCTGTGCAAAGAATCTGGGCATCTGGGATCCCCCTCCTCTGATCCCAGCCTGGTCTCCTCCTCCAGCTCCTAGGAGGGAAAGGGGAGGAGGCGGAGCTCGTCCAGGGGACCAGGACTCAGAGCCTGCTCTCATCCAGCCCGACATCAACAGCTCTGTCCCTCTGGTGCACAGCCCCCACCCCCAGGCTGGTGCCCAGGGAGGGCTGGAAGAAGACCCCTGGACAGGGGCCCCTGTTGGAGGGAAGCAGAGATGAAGAGGTAGAGGACGCAGCCTGCCCTACCAGGCGTGAAGCCCTCTGTACATTTGTATATACTTAGGGGAGCCAGGGCTGGGGTGGGGCTACCCATTAGAAGGTGGTGGGTGGGGCTATGGGGTGGGCCATTCCCAGAAAGCCAGGGTCCCCAGCCGAGGCATTAACAGAAGAGGTTGAGCCCCCAGGAGCCAGGAGTGCTGGGCTGCTCTCCCCCTGGGGTTGGGGGGGTGCGGCTTCTCCAGGACCAACTCCTCTCTGGGCAGGGGAACTGGGGGACCCAGCAGGCCTGGCTCAGCTCCCAAATGCCCCTGCACTGGGAGGGGGCAGGAGCCCCTGCGGGCCTTGACTGAGCTTGTTGGGGGTGGGGGAAGCCTTCTCAGCCCTTCCCCCTTCCCGGCTGGTTTTATAAAGTGTTGACGAAATTGGGAATAAAGAAGCATACAGTAGGCTCTGTGTGTGTGCGCGCCTGTTGGGATGGGGAGGGCGGCTGGGCATATGCATGACTTATTCTGGGGGTTAGAAGGAAAAGCAGGGCACCAGCAAGGGGGGCAAGCTGTGGGGGAGGGGGACTTCATCCTCACACACTCCCCTCCCCCACCAACACCTACCTTTCAACAATTCAGAATTCCTAGTCCACACTGAGCCAATTTATTCAAGAGGGGTAGAGGAGGGCTTCATTGGGATCCAGAAGCAAAAAATTGAGGCATCCCCTCCTCCTGTGTCAGCTCCCCTTCTCCTCGCTGCAGCCCAGGCCCCAGGGTCTGCCCCCGAGGCAGCAGGGCTGGAGTCAACTAAACAGTACTGCATAAATACACCGAGGCCACAGGCCGAATCAGCAGCGTCACAAGGGGGTGGTTGGGGGATGGGGAGGGTGGACTTGGGGCAGAAAGGGAAGGGGGTGCTCTGGGTGTAGCTCCTCTCGAGGCTTTGTCCAGAGCCTCTCCCTACCGCCTGCAAAGGCACAGGGACCAGTGACTCTTCCGGGCCCAGCGATGTCCGGAGAGGCCAGCAGGCGGCCCCTGGTGGGGAGAGGGGGTGGGCAGGGTGTGGCTAGGCCTAGGGCTCAGGGGGCCCAGGGCGGGTCAGGTGCTGTTGCCTTGCTCTTGCTCGAAAAGCAGCATGGCAAGCTGGGTTCGGGAGCCGAGGCCCTCGAGCACGCTCTGGCGGCAGCGGTGGTACAGGTCCTCGCTGAGCCGGGCACTGCACGTCTGGGCCCGGTAGTGCTGCAGCAGCGCCGGCTCCACGGCGCGCAGCACGTGCAGGCTGGAGTAGCGCAGGAACAACTCGTACACGTCCAGGCTCTCCAGCAGCTCCTCTTCTTGTTCCGTGGCGGCTGCCAGGCGCCCGCGGGCCGCCACATAGTCGGAGTTGTAGAAGCAGGCCTCGCTGGCCGCCTGGCGGTCGAAGCGCCCCGTGTCGCGGCCCAGCTCCGGAGGCCCGGGCCCCTGGGGCGGCGCCACAGCCGGGTGGAAGGCCTGGAAGTGCATGGGGAAGAAGGCCTGCCAGCCAGAGATGGCGTGCATGCGGCAGCGGTTCATGAAGTCAGGGGTGAGCACTGTGTCTGGCCCGGCCAGGAGAAACAGCGTGTCCAGAGGGTGCTTCTTAGAGAGCAGATCCATGAGGCGCAGTGGGGCGGGCGCGGCTGTCTGCACGCTGAGCCAGGGCACACGGGCGCCTGGGAAGCGGCGCTCCAGCTCCGCCACGTGGGCCTTGACTGGGGCGAAGACGTCGGCGTGCGCGGCCCGCTGGGCCTGGCGCGGCTCGTACAGCAGCAGCAGGGTCAGGGCCGCTGCGTCCCCGGGCTCCAGGGCCGCCGCGGCGAAGGCCTCCAGGAAGCCCGGCGCCAGGTCGCGCTCGGCCGCCGCCAGAGGCAGCAGGACCGTGAGCCGGGAGGCCTCGGTGACATAGGGCACGGGCAGGATCTCCACGCGGCTCAGCGGCCGCAGCAGCTGCACCCGGTGCGTGAGGGGCCGGCGGCCGCCCTGTGGGGTCAGCGCCTCGAGGCGCAGGTCCAGCGTATACTCCATCCCGCGCGCCGGGTCGAAGCGCCGGTAGCCGTTCAGCAGCTGTTGCTTCTGCAGCCGCAGCGCCGGGTGGTAGCGCCGGTTGAGTTCCTCCAGGGCGGCGCCCAGGACGTCCGCCACATCCGCCTGATCCGCCCCGCGAAGAGGACAGCGGGGCGAGCCGTCGGCGCAGGAGAAGGCGTGCTGCTCCGTGAAGTAGTCCCAGCGCAGCACCTCAAAACGGGAAGCTGGGCGCGAGGGCGCAGGGATGCCCACGGGCCAGGCAGCCAACCGCTCACCGTCAGCTGCCAGGCGGCTGGTGTTCAGGATTTCCCACTAGATGCAGAAAACGGGTGGCATGAGCAAGGCAGGGCCCACAGGGGTCAGCACACGGGAGGGCGGGGTGCGGCGAGTGGCTGAAGCAAAGGCAACGGGGGTCATGTGGCCCACCCAGGCCGTCACTGGCCTTCCCATAAGCCGGACAGACCAGCTGGGAGGCGGGCTTGTTTCTCGGACCCCAGCAGCACTATGTCCCCAGGGGTCTGTAAGACTCCTCCCAGCCTCCCCACATCCCTCCCGAGGCCCACAACATACCTGCAGCTCACGGATCTCTTGGTATGTGCGCTCCAGTTCAGCCCTGGCAAAGGCCTTGTGCAGCTGGTACATGTGTATGGGGTCCCGCACCGGATGGGCTGTCAGGGCACTGCGGAAGCGGGGATCCCCTTCCTGGACTGGCTCCCCAGGGCTCAGCTCCAGGTAGCTGTAGTGTGCTCCCTGGGGAGAGAAGGGGGACTGGGTCTGTGACAGGTTCCCTGCCTTTCCCCCCAGGCCCTACCCTCACAGTCACCCTAGGGATGCGCGGGCAGACTTCTGTCCCCATGAGACTACCCTGGCTAGCGCTGAGCCTGTATGAGCCCTGGGCGGGTTTCTGCTAACTCATCTGTGAGCTGCCCAGTACCCGACACTGACCGCCTGCTTGTTCTCCAATCCCTACAACCACCCTGAGCATCATGATTTCCACCAGGCCGGATGAAGACAGATGTCTCTGGAGAGTCAGCAAGTGATCCAAGAGCATGGGGAAGGGGAGCCTGGACCACAACAGGACTGGCAAGCCCCACTACCCCGTGGCCTCCTTCTAGGGTGCAGCGCCAAGGCCCAAACAGGAGACGCCCCGAGGCGGCTCGCGCTCCCACCTCCTGGTCGCTGGAGCAGCCCACCCCAGTGGCATCCAGGATACAGCGTCCCAGCCACTCGTCCGGGCGGGCGCTGACGATGTCGTTGCGACAGCCTTCCAGGTGAGGGCGCAACTGCTGCAGCAGCGTGCGCGACAGCATCACTCCGAAGCCGCCGTGGCAGTAGCGGCCCGGCGTGGGCTCTCCTCCGATGAACTCCTGGGGCCGGCCCAGGTAGAGGTGGGCGGCGGCGGCCAGGCTGAGGCGGCCGGCGAGGCGTGCCAGGCCGTGCGCCTCGGTGTAAGTGGAGTCAGGTACCAGGAAGAACCAGTCAAAGTCGTCGCCGTGCTGCTCCAGCAGGTGGCGCAGCGCCAGGTGCAGGTGCCCGATGGGCCGCTCCTCACCCAGGGTCACCACGGCCATGCCCGGTGGGGTCCGGCGGCCCCGCGCGCCCGTCAGGAACACCACACGCTCCAGCCGGTGCCCTAGGGTGCGGTTCACAGCCACGCCCAGTGTGGGCAACGTGGCCTGCGAGGTCAGCACTGCCACCAGCAGCCTCTGCCTGATGCCCAGCTCCGTGCTGATGTAACGGGTCCTGCGGGAGGACACGGTACAAGGTTACCAAACAGACCCCTGGGGCATGTGGAAGGCAGCTCACACGCAGGCAGCAGCGGGTCCCATCTCCCCCCACCCCCGGGGCTTGTTCCTGGCCTGGAAGCAGAGCAAGAAAGGGCCTCTTTCTCCCAGGGAATCATGCAACAGGAGAGATGGGTTGTGGGCCAGATTCCTGGTTCTACTGCTTAGTAGGAATGTGCCCTTGAGGGCGTTATGTTGCCATCTGTAAAATGGGACTGTTTGCATCTATTTAAAGCACAGAGCGGCTATGTTTCCTACACCCGCGCGCCTTTATGCTATAGATACGTCCCACAGGAGGTAGAGCAGTAGATGGGCTAGAGGGAGCTGAGTGTATCTGTAGGAGAGGCAGGTTGGGACTAGAGGGGACGGGGCCAGAACTGGAACTGAGTGCTCCTTAGGAGCCACTAACCCCGCCCCTCACATCTCACTCCCAGGCAGTCCTGGTCACCCACCTGGGTACGGAGATTCAGGGACGGGCAGATTTTCATTCTCTCCCTGCTCTGTCCCTCTCTCTAGGTACAGCCATTTCCGTGGCCTCCCAAACACCCAGATGAGAAGCTAAGAGGGTCCCTGGGGTCCCCTGGAGCGGAAGGGTTCGGGACAAGTTCAGTCCAGGCTGGCCTGGGGCCTCGGAGTGGCCCCACCGCTCCCGGGAAAGCCGGACTATAGGAAGTTATCAGGGCCCAAAGACTTCCTGGCCGGCCAGCCCCTTCCTTCCGGAGCCTAACCCGGCCCCGGGGCCTCCCCCGCGCGCCGCGGCTGCTGCCCAGGGGCCTGAGGTCGGCAGAGCCCATCTCTAACCTGACGGCCTTTTTGGCGGCCTGGCCGGGCTGCGCGGGGCGGTAAGGCAGGACTCGCGGTTCCCAGTTCTCCCCCGCGCCGGCGCCGGCCCCGGGCCTGTCGCGCTCCGCTCCGGGCTGCACCGAGTTGGGCCGGCGAGCCGCGTTGGTGTTGCCGCGCGGCGGCAGCTCCGAGTCTCCGGGTTGGGGCGGCCCGGGGCCGCACGGCTCCTCCACCCAGGTGACGCTGAGCAGGCTCAGAGTGAAGCCCAGCGAGATGCCCACGGCCACGGGCCCCGCGGGCCGCAGCACCGACAGCAGCAGCGATGCCCGCATGGCGCCCGGACCGCGGGCCCCTGGCCACCCGCGCAGCCCCACAGCGGCCCGAGGAGGCTCCGAGGGGGCGGGCCCGAGGAGGGGGCGGATCCGGAGGGCCCGGGCCCCAGCGGGCGGGCCCGCTCCCGCCCCGCCGAGCGGAGCCCGCGGCCGGAGCCGAATCCCGCGCGCCGCGTCCCGGCTCCCCACCCTCCGGCTGCGCTCGGCGCCGGAGCTCGGCCGCCGCTGTCCGACGTGTCACTGCGAGGGCCCCGCCCCCGGGGGCGGGGTCTTCGGGCTGCAGTCACCCGAGAGGCGGAGGGAGGTTAAAGGGGAAGGACCTCCGGAAGTGCCCCCTCCTCAGCGCGCGCGAGCGAGGCGCCGGGGGCGGAGTCTCCGGCCTCCCCCCGGCCGGTTGGTGCGTCCCGGGTGACGTCAGAGGCAGCCCTCCCCTGCCGGTGGTGCGCCCTGAGTGACGTCAGGAGCCGCGGCCGGAGCTGTCCATCAGCACCAAAGGCCGCGGGCGGTCTCAGGGCATGGGGCCGCGGCTCCGGGGCGGCCCGAGCCCCTGCTCCTGCTCTTCTCCCTTCTCCAGGCCCGGGCCCGGTCCCCGGACGCCGCGGGCCTGGAGTGCCAGGCGCTGCTGGAGGTGGAGCGGTGACGGCGCCGCGCAAAGACCGTTCTCTGCGGCCCAGCAGACCCCTTCCCCGCAGCACGACGGACTTTGCCGGGACTCCAGTCACTTGGAGCCCCTGGCTCCCTGCCACCCCAGCCCCTCCGGCGCCGGCTCAGCCTCCTGGGCTCCGAAGCTCAGATCGCCGCCAGCGCAGGTACATCTTGGACAATGCCAGAGCCAGCCTCCCACAGCCTGGTCCCCTGGCTGCCTCCTGCCCACTGCAGCGCGCGCCCTCCCCCCCAGGTCCCCCTTTTTAACTTCGTGCCAGCCCCTCCAGCCCGGTGTCCTGTTTCTCTTTGTCTTTACTTCCCCCCACCAACCCACTCTAGGGAGCTCCCAAAGCTTCATGGTGTGGGTACCAGCACTCCTTTGTCCACAGCGTCCTTGCTGAGTTCTCCCACTCCCATCCTGGGGGGAACTCCTGCTTGACCCCAGCTCCCTTGTCGGGCAGGTGGACCTGGGAGGCTGACCTCCTCGCATTCCCGGCGCTATGCCGGGCACAGTGGCAACACTGCGGTTCCAGCTGCTGCCCCCTGAGCCGGATGATGCTTTCTGGGGTGCACCTTGTGAACAGCCCCTGGAGCGCAGGTACCAGGCGCTACCAGCCCTCGTGTGCATCATGAGCTGCTTGTTCGGAGTTGTCTACTGCTTCTTCGGTGAGATCCCCTGACCTCTGTCCCTCACCTGTTTCTCTGGGTTTTTTTTTTTTTTCTGCCCTTGCTTTGCAACCTTCTTCAAAGCCCACCAGCATCCCCTGAAAAACTTGCTTCTCTTTCATCCCACATTGTTTGTAGACCTCCCAGAGTCCATATTTGAAAGCTGATGGTGATGCCTGGGTATATTAACCTCACTGAGCTAAAGCTTATCTGAGCAGTGGGAACCCTGGTTTTGGTCTTAGGAGGGGTTGTTACAAGAATGAGTAGGCGCTGTGTAAGTAGTAGCTATTATGGTGAATGTTCCTTTGGGTCTCTCCTGTCAGAAAGCATTGGGATCTCTCAGGAGCGTGACTGAGTCTGGGTCCTTCCCACTAGATGTCTGATGCAGAGCAACTCCTGAAAGTGACACCTGTCCGAGTGGGGGCTGCCATCCAGCGTGCTCTGCCACAGCCACCTTCCCTTTCCTAACTTGCACAGAGGTGTCATAGGGACTAGTGGGAGCCTGAGTAAGTGTTCAGTGACTCTAAAGAAAAGAGTTGACAGAACTTCAAAAGTGGGTACTATGGACTGCGGGTCCACAGGAAGCCCGTGGTAGGAGAATTGTTGATAGCAGCCAGTGCAGGCTGAGGAGGCTGCAGGTGTGGGGTTTTAGGCTGGGCAGGAATGGGGCAGGACTGGTGCGCTGCCACCTCCACACCTCCTCCTGGAATGGGTGAGTAGACAGGGCGGGGAGCCAGCCGATCTCTCCACCCCCAGCCTCCGGGCTGACGAACTGCAGAGTGGGCAGGAGGCCGTGCCCACACACAGCTTCGGGACAAGTTTGGGCCTCCAGGGAGTCTGTCTCGTCCGCCAGCCATGGGCGGCTGCTGTGCACAGTTCTCGGGTTAGTCTTCCCTCCCTGTTCCGGGCTTCCTTGGCACCGGATGCCTCCACTGCCAAGCTCTTGGACTCAGAGTTCTTGACCTCCTCCTCCTCTCTGCCGCCCCAGCACCTCCTGGATTTGTTCTCGCCTTCGTTCCAGGAACCAAATCTCTTCATTATCTTATCCTTTGGTTCTCTCTGACCCCTCAGCCCTCATGTCTGGCTTCCATCTTCCCAATTCTGGGGGGACATACCTCCCTTACTCTTACAGGCCCTCTGAGTGGGGCCTGAAGGTCTTATAATCTCTGTTGTTTTCCCTGCAATCCCGGTTTCTCACAGTAGTTTATAAGTCCTTGTGACTTCCAGCTGTCTCATTCTCTTCCATCACTACACCCACCCACCATGGCCCAAGCCCCTCTGTGATCCCAGCTCTGGTCCTCGTTACCCCCGTGCTGCCATCCTGATCACCCCATTTATCTGGCCTCAGTGAGACTGTTCCTCAGAACCCCTTGAACATTCCCAACAACCTCCATCCTTCCCCTGGGACCTAAAGGGCCTTTATCCCCCGATCCTAGAACTATTTCCTGACAAGCTGCCTTCCCTGAGCCCTTCCAGCAATGCCTGATTTCTGAAACCCTGCCACCCCAGGAATGTCCGCTCTCCATGAGCCTGTGTCCACGATGCTCTCTCAGCAGTGCTTGCCCACCCCAGGGACCCCAGTGCCCTGCTCCCCTGACTCCTAGGATCTCACAGATGCCCAGTGTCCCATTACTGGTTCCCTTCTTACATCCCTGAGCTGTCTCAGATCACTCTGGCCATCCAGGCCCCCAAACCCAGGAAACCCCAAATCATTCTCTCAGTGATTCCTCCTTTTCAGCCTGGGGAGCTTCCTGCTTCCCTGACCTCGGCATCTTGATCTCCAGTCCCCAAGCCCTCACGTCTCCCTGCCGCCCCTGTCACAAGCCTCTGTTCCCCTGCAGGTTACCGCTGCTTCAAGGCGGTGCTCTTCCTCACGGGGCTGCTGTTCGGCTCGGTCATCATCTTCCTGCTGTGCTACCGAGAGCGTGTGCTGGAGACGCAGCTGAGTGCTGGGGCGAGCGCAGGCATCGCTCTGGGCATCGGGCTGCTGTGCGGGCTGGTGGCCATGCTGGTGCGCAGCGTGGGCCTCTTCTTGGTGGGTCTGCTGCTGGGCCTGCTGCTCGCCGCTGCCGCCCTGCTGGGCTCTGCGCACTACTACCAGCCGGGCTCCGTGTGGGGGCCCCTGGGGCTGCTGCTGGGAGGCGGCCTGCTCTGCGCCCTGCTCACACTGCGCTGGCCTCGGCCACTCACCACCCTGGCCACTGCCGTGACCGGGGCGGCACTCATCGCCACTGCCGCTGACTACTTTGCCGAGCTGCTGCTGTTGGGGCGCTACGTGGTGGAGCGGCTGCGGGCCGCCCCTGTACCCCCACTCTGCTGGCGCAGCTGGGCCCTGCTAGCCCTGTGGCCCTTGCTCAGCTTCATGGGTGTGGTGGTGCAGTGGCGGGTAACGGCTGAGAGGGACTCGCACACTGAAGGTGAGAGGGTACGGCCGACGTGGGCATGAGAGAAAGAGATGGTGGGGTGGGTGGGGTTGATGAAGGGTGGGGCGGGTGCTGGGAGGGGGTGCTGAATGACTGAACAGTAAGGGGTAAAAGCTGTACATGCCAGCAGCAGAAGGTCTGTGAAGACAGGCCCCGTGCGCCAGCTTTCACCCCACAACAATGCGTGTGCCATCAGCTCTGGGCCAACCCCGTTGCAGGCCCTGGGGATACAGCCAAGACCCCTGTCCTCAGGCTGTCCTTCTGGGGTGGGTGAGATCAGAGAACAGGCAGGCAAGCAGGTCAGATGGTTTCAGTTATGCAGAGTGCCATGAGAGAGGTGCACAGGAGTCTAGGAATTAGTGACCTTATAGTTAGGGTGACCAAGGAGGGCTGCCAGGAGGAGGAGGCAACATGTTCAACAAAAACATGAAGGATAGGAGCCCAGCCGAGAACTTGCGAGGAGGGAACAGCAGGGGAAAGGGCCCTGAGAAGAAATGAGGTTGGCTAGTTCAAAGGGGAGAAGGTGAGATCCAGGCATCAGAATCAGACTATATGAGTCTTAGAGGGCTGATGTGATGCCATTGGAGGGTTTGCAAGAACGGAGGCCGTGATCTGAGCCACTGTTTTGGGGCACTCCTTCTGCTCCAGAGTGTAGAAAGCACCCAAGGGAGGCAGTTATAGCAGGGAGGAAGCAGCTGGGGCTGTCCCTTGGGACAGCAGCTGGCCTAGGTGAGTCATGCATGTGTCAGGACTGGGAGCCGGCTAACAGCTGGGGCCATCTGGGCATCCCTGGCAAAGACGGGAGTCCCATCTGGGGGGATGAGAGACTGGGAAAGAAAAGTGCCCGGTGGAAGTGGGATACGGACAAGGGGTTTGTGGGAGGGCAGAAGAAGGGCCCTGAGACCCTCTGCCCATCCCACTGCAGTGGTCATCAGCCGGCAGCGACGACGTGTGCAGCTCATGAGGATTCGGCAGCAAGAGGAACGCAAGGAGAAGAGGCGGAAGAAGCGACCTCCGCGGGCTCTGCCCAGAGGCACCCGTGCCCCTGCGAGGCCTGGTCCACCAGATCCTGCCTACCGGCGCAGGCCAGTGCCCATCAAGCGCTTCAACGGAGATGTCCTCTCACCAGTGAGTACTCTGAGCAGTCCCCCCCCACCCAAACCCAAAGGGAGCAAGGGAAAGTGTGGCAGCTGTGGCGGCAGGATGGGCTTTCCCTAGCGGCAGGTGGTCACCCAGAAGGCATAGGGTATGTCCATGCATCCATCAGAGCTTTTATGCCTTGGCATGCCAGACACAGCTCTAGAGCGCCCCCTATGAATAGCCATTGCGGGGCAGGAAGGGGAGTGCCTGGGGAGTGCCAGGCTTGATGGGTGCAAGGAAAGGGGACTTCAGGGCAGGCGTCAGTGAGGCTCTTATGCCTGTGTTGCCTCCTCCACAGAGCTACATCCAGAGCTTCCGGGACCGGCAGACTGGCAGCTCCCTGAGCTCTTTCCTGGCCTCGCCCACAGACACGGACAATGAGTACGGCTCCCGGGGGCCGCTGACAGCCTGCTCAGGGCCTCCAGTGCGGGTATAGCCACAGCCTGCCCGTCAAGACTCTACAGTCACCAGCTCAGCCGGCCTGGGCGAGCCCTGAGGCCAGCACCCAACCTGCCTGGCCCTGCAGGCTCTCGGGAGAGGGCCGCCCACCCGGCCTGTAGAAGAAGGCTCTATTGGGGGCTTCAGGCATGACAGAAGGCCTCTCCCAGGCTCCTAGAGGGGCTCCTGGGGACCCCCGGGTGTGAGTCCCGCAGGGGGTGTGCTCAGGGTTGTGTGTGTTGCCTGTGTGTGCGTGTGTGGGTGCAGGGGGTGGGCTTGGAGGGGTTGCTGGGAGCCTTGCCACAGGTTTTGGATAGGTAAGGCTTCTTCAGGGCCAGCCCTGCAGGCCACTCTCCTGCATGTCCACGTGGAGGTGGCCTGTGGCCTCCTCACTGCTCTGCCTCCTGGCCAACCACATCTGAGGGTTTTGCAAATAGTTGCAGGCCTCTCTGGTCCCCTGACCTCTGTGAAACCACCAGCCCTGGGGCAGTGGCAAGGGACAGGGAGGGGTGGGCGGGGGTGGGGGGCAGTGCTGCTGCCTTGGGCTTGGTGGGGGAAGGGTGGAGGGCCGGGGTGGGCTCTGAATGCACGATGCATGTCTGGTGTCCACCATGCCACCGGAGACACCTCATGCTTCTGACCCCTCCCCATGCCCTCTCTGACATCTTTTATAAACGTGCCAAACTGCGTGGCCTCTGCCAGGAGTGATGGTCTCCAGTGACTGGCACTTGTGTGGAGTGCAGCCCTCTAATCCCCGGGTCACTCAGCACCCATCCTGTGGCACTCGGCAAAGTCTGATTTTGCATACTACACAGAGAGGCAGGGCAAGCAGATACAGCACTTTATTGTTTACTGCACACCTCTGGTTTCCCTGTGTAGCCCTTCTACCCCACTGCCTCTGAGGGTCCCCGAGGGAGGGCACACGCCTTGCGAGCTGTCCAAGGGCACCTGCCTGGCCTTGGTGTCCGTCCTCCTAATTACCTGCAGAGGAATGGAGCCATGTGGGGCTTGGGAGAGAGCAAGCACCACCTGTCTCCCTTGTGCTGCCTCCCTCTGCCCCCCCACCCCCCCGCAGAGCCCAGGAAGCCAAGCAGAAAGAGCTGGGCCCCAGGCATTTGCCCAAGCTGCCTGGGCCACCCCTGAATCAAATGAAAAGGTTTGCAGCAGAACAGGTGGGGGTAGGTGATAGTGAACTGGACTGGCCCAGCAGCGTCTGCCTAGGCTGATGTTGGACTTGCTGAGAGGGGCAGAAGGTAACTGGGCATGACGCTGAGGGGATAAGGGGCAGGTGCTAATGGTGGTGGGTAGGTGGGAAGGAGAACTGGCAGAAACAGGATGTTCATCCAGGACAGAAAAGGCGAGGGCAGCAAACTCAGGGCACCCTCCACGTCATACCCCATCCTTCAACTCCAACACATCCCAGAACCACCTGCCACCCCAAGTCCTACACAACCTTCTGTACAGGTGTGTGTAGGCCTGGCAGCCCCTCTGACCTCCAGGCCCAGAGTGTCACTCACCCCTCCACCAGCAGCAGCGTGTGCGCGCTTTCCTGGCCAGCCTGGCAGCAGTAGGTGCCCTGGTCCTCGGGTTGTACGTTGCGGATGACCAGGCCGTGGGTGGAGCCGTGGCTGCGCATCTCGTACTTGTCTCCCGGGCACAGCTCGGCTCCCTCCCGCAACCAGCACACGTGGGCTCCGCTGCGAGACACAGTCACCTCCAGCACCGCCCGGCGGCCCACCAGAACCGTCTTCTCGCGTGGCGGCCTGCGGCACATCTGAAGAGGCAAAGCTGGGGGGCGGGGCGGAGCAAGTTCAGAGACACACGCCCACCCCCTCAGCAAGATATGTCCCTCCCCTGCCTGACCCCAGCGCTCTGTGCCCCGCACCCCAAAAGCTCCTCCTCCCGGGGTACGTGGCGCTCTCTGACTCGCCCCAGGACAGTGCCGGGAGGACAGCTAGGCAGCTGTCGGGTCTCAGAACAGCGGACAGCATCCCTTCCCGGTCGCTCCCACTCCCACTGCTCACCCTCCACCTCCAGCTGAGTCAAGGACTGGGCGGGTCCCGCCTGGAAACGGACTTCGCCGGCATCCTCTGTGCGCAGTTGGCTCAGCACCAGAATGTGTTTCTTGCCTGCGGGCGAAGGGGGATGTTCAAAAGGCGGAGTTGCTTGCTGGGGCAGGCTCCAGGCTCCACGGGTGAGGGTGGGTGACTGTGGCCGTCCGCGGCCAGTCCGCACTGGAGCGGGAAGACCGGGGATGCCGAGGGCAGGGACGCGCGGTCCGGGACCCGGTGCGGGGGGGCGGGACCCCTTGGCGCTAGGAGGCGGGGCTTATCCGAATGGGGCGGTTTCGGATCGGGGGCTAGGCGCCGGAGAAGACTAGATGAGAAGCCAGACCTTCCTGTCGGATGCGGACGCGATCTCCGGGCTTCAGCGGACGGCCACCCAGCTCCCAGCTCCCCACAGTCTCGGCCTCCGATACTGTGCACTCAAATGTGGCGCCATCACCTTCGCGGGCACGCACCGCCTGGAGCTCGGAGAGCACCGACACCTGACGCTCTGGGGGTGGAGCCCGGGTCGTGAAGCGGGGCAAGAGGGGCCAGGCCACACCCTTCCTCCCTGCCCAGACACCCGGTGCCCGAAGCAAGTGCACAGTCCTCCCCTCGCCCCATACCCACCGCGCACGGTCAGGCGTGCGGGCCCGGTGCGAGCCGTCCCCACCACGCAGCTGTAGGTGCCAGCGTCCGAAGGGCTGCAGCGCCGCAGCTGTAGAAGGCGGCGCGGGCCCAGAGCCTGGAACCGGAGTCTCGGGCTGGCAGAGAGCACGCGCCCGTCCTGGGGGGCGGGGGGCGAGGCTTAGCGGGGCGCTGGGGCCTCCACCCTGTAGATGGACGCCAAGCACTCTCGAGGCACGGCTAGGGATGCCCTGTGTTTAATGGCGTGAATCTGGTTGTTCCCAATGCAGAGCGGGGGCACACGCCAGGGCTCCTTTGGAGATGTTGGGGTCCGGGAAGAGCGCGGGGTGGGGAGGGGGGCCCCCAGAAGTACAGAAGCGGGCGCTGATTTGATCACAGGACAGGTGAGCCCAGATTCTGGATTTAAACATGGACACTATCCTGCTTTTGTCTGCCCCTGGGCAAGCAGCTGCGACCCTCAGGGCCTGCTGGTCCCACCGTTGCAGTGCTAACAGCGCTAGGCACAGGAGCGGTACTGGCTGTTTCTGTTAGGGGCCTTGTGAGGGTGGTGGGTATTCGGTCAGAGTGCTCTGGGCTGAGGCGGGGCCTGGGACTGGGCACTGACCTTCTCCCAAGTCACATCAGCCAAGGCCTGGGAGAGCTCACACTCCAACGTAGCTGTGTCACCGTCTGTCACCTCTAGATCCTGTGGCCCCCGCACAAAGGTCACTGGGGTCTCTGGAGGAGGGGTGGGAGAGGGAGGGCCATGCCAAGGAAACAGGGGCAAGCTTGGAATGGAGACCCAGCTTGCAGGGACAAACAAGGCACTTTGGCATAATGGCTAAGTGGTGGACATATTGAGACAAGGTGATTAGTGGGGGGGCGGGGGAGGGGAGCTACCAGAGTATGGGCAGTATGCGAGATCTGTAGGGCACGCCACAGGGTTACAGGGCAGCACTGGAAGGGTCAGTAGGGGACATGGTGGGGCCTGGAAGAGAGTGGAGGGAACCGAGGCAGGAATACTGAGGGAGTTGCTTATAGGCAGGCATGGCCAGTGGAGGAGGGCAAGGCTCAGTTGCAGAGGGCAGTGGGAGGCCCTGGCTTGGGGGAGACACAATGGGATCGGAGGAGCAGTAGGGTCTCATAAAGCAGGTACAAGCAGTGTATAACACACTGGGCTTGGCAGCCAAACTAGGGGCCACTCCAGCAGAACTGCTAATGAGGTCACCCCAAGAGAGGCAGTGTCAGTGGACAGCAGGGGGGAGGACACGGAATGGCCAGAGGAGCATGTGCAGGTCAGCAGATAACAGGGACCACATACTGGCAGACATGCTCATGGTGGAGCAGAGCCTGGGGCTGGTGGGGTCAGAGGGGGTCACACTCAAGCCTGGTAGTAACTGGGATCACACAGGATGGCCATGGGCTCAGGGCAGTCACACTCTGGCAGAAGGCAGGGGGATAGTCAGTGAGGGCCACGCAGGGACAGGCACGGTGAGTGGGGGTCACACAGGTTGTGCAGTCAGTCATCACACCCAGACAGTCAGTAGAGCCACACAGGTGAGCAGGCAGGTGGCAGGACCCAGAGGGGCCGCACCTCTCACAGTCAGCCTGGCGGCACAGCGCAGGGCATCCGCCGTGAAGGAGACACAGCCTGAGTCCGCCACGCCCAGACCACTGAGCACGAGGCGGTGCGTGTGGCCTTCGGTGTGGATGTGGCACTTAGGTCCTGGCTGCAGGCGGACTCCGCCGCGGGCCCACTCCCCTGTCACACCCTCCTGGGACAGCTCCAGTTGGAAGGTGGCACTGTCCCCCTCGCTGACGGTCACATCCTGCAGGGGCCTCAGAGCCCTCAGCTGCTTCGCTGAGAATGGGAAGAGAGGAAGAGGAGGGCTTGGGCTCTGGGCAGGCGTGCAGAGCGGGGACATTGTCTCCCTGCCTGCACCACCTCTGATCACAAGTTGAGACCCAGGGTGCAGGAAGAAGGCAGGTGGTCCAGCCAGACTTGGTGGGAGGAGTCTAACGGGGGAGGAGCACAGAAATCGGGGTCAGGAGCCTGGGGTGGGAACCCAGTTCCATTGCATAGCTCGTGTGCTGTGTGACCTTTGGCAAACTTCTCAAGCTCTCTGGGCCCAGGTTTCCTCAGCTGTGCAAGGCAGGAGATCAGCACTGAGATGGGATTTGACTGTGGTGACCAGTGGCCTTCAATAAATGAGATCCAGCTGTCCACCAAAGTCTGTGTCTCAGCTAAGGAGCCTTGAGATGACGCAGCCCCATCATAAAAAAGCTGTGGGTCAGAGAGGTTTTGGAGCTGGCTTGAGGTCATACAGCTATGAGGGCTCCGGGTTGAGCAGGTTCGGGTGAAGGGTGCTCTTTGCTGGCTTACATACCCTCCCACCCTGCTTCTTGAGCAGGCATGACTGAAGCATGAACAAAGTGGTAGTTTTTTTTTTCTGCAGTAGCGTATTTATGTTTATAGCAAAGCTGTCTTGGAAATAGGAAACAGAAATGCAAAGGCCACATGGACGTCTAAGTAGAAAACACTAGAAAAAAGACACATTTTTGCTTTGGGCAATCTGCTTTGGGATTCCAGC